AGGAGGTACTATCTCTGTCTCCTAAAGCTGTTTGCTATACAGAAATCCTTGAAAAGATGTTGCAAAACAAAGGCAGTCATTGTCTTTGCTCACAGATGGGTAGAAAGAGATCTATGGAGAATTGTCTTCACCATCTTATAAAGGGAGGAATGGTAATAAATGGCCACATTCATTCAGTCAACCCATACTGAACACTAACCATGTGCCTGGCCCTGTTCTAGGCGTGAGGATATGGTGGTGAACGGTGCCCTTGTGGAGCTAACAGTTTAGTGGGGGAAATGGACAATAAGCAGATCTGTAACATAGTGTAAGTCCTACAAGAATGGAAAGCGGGACGAGAGACAGAGTGGCAGGGGAGTTCTTTTACATTATGAAATAAATACTCTACTGGAGCATAAACTGCAGTGGAAATAGAAAAGGAGTTTTCTGCATTGTACTGTAAAATTGTAGGGGTTGTGTGGAACTGAGGAGAACATGATCCCTTGACACCAGTAAGACAGGCCGCTCGGGTCTCTAAAAGGAACTCAGAGAGTTTCTAGTTGGAAGTGAGCACTACAAGCTGAGCATCCCTTATCCGAAAGCCTTGGGACCAGAAGTGTTTCAGATTTGGGGTTTTCCCAGATTTTGGAATATTTACACATATATAAGATAACTTGGGACTGGGACCCAAGTCCAAACACAGAATTCATTTGTTGTGTATATACCTTACATACGTAGCCTGAAGGTAATATTATACCACATTTTAAGCAGTTTTGTGCATGAAACAGTTTTGGCTGCTTTTTGACTGCGGCCCGTCACATGAGGCCAGATGTGGAATTTCCCACTTGTGGTGTCATGTCGCCACTGAAAAATTTGGGATTTTAGAGCATTTCAGATTTTTGATTTTGGGTTAGGAATGCTCAGACCTGTAATAATAATCACAGGAATGAATATGGTTTGTTCTAAGTGCTAAAATTTGGTGCAAATGAAAGGTGTAAAACCATGTGTAAACTACCTAAGAAGATTAAATGAATGGATAAGCTTTTGCAGAAAATACATGAACTAGAAGGATAGATTTGGGCACCGCAGTGTGTACCTGCTGTCCCCCCTACTCAGGAGGGAGACAGGAGGATTGCTTGAGCCTAGGAATGTGAGGCTGCAGTGAGCTACAATTACATCTGTGAATAGCTACTACATTCCATCCTAGGCAATGTAGTCAAATGCAATTTCTGAAAAAATAATAAAACAATAACAAGTTAAATTATAGCGCCATAAAGGAAAATTCAAATATCAGTTAAAATGTTGTCCCCCATAATAAAGTTAGACTTGAGGGTTTAATAGTTTAAAAAAAAAAAAAAAAACTCATCTTGGCTGGTCGCGGTGTCTCACATTTATAATCTCAGCACTTTGGGAGGCCGAGGCGGGCGGATCACCTGAGGTCAGGAGTTCGAGACCAGCCTGGCCAGTACGATGAAACCCTGTCTCTACCAAAAATACAAAAACAAGCTGGGCGTAATCCCAGCTACTTGGGAGGCCAAGACAGGAGAATTGCTTGAACCCAGGAGGTAGAGATTGCAGTGAGCCAAGATCGCGCCATTGCGTGATGGGTGGTGACAAGATGGGTGATCTCACCTGGGTGACAAGAGTGAAACTCCATCTCAAGAAAAAAAAAAATCTTACATTCCATAATGGTAGTCGTTTTGTTATATAGACCCGTTCTGCTTATTGACAGGATTTGAGGTTTACAAAATTAATTTAAAATAACAGTGAGAGAATAGGGTCATAATTTGATGGTACTAGGAGTTTAAAAACATGTTCTTATGGGCATATTCTTCACGTAGCTACTACTGCGATTACCTACATAGAAGTCCAGGCATAGGCTGGGTGCGGTGGGCTTATGCCTATAATCCCAGCACTTTGGGAGGCTAAGGCAGGCAGGTCACTTGAGGCCAGGAGTTTGAGACCAGCCTGTTCAACATGGCAAAACCCTGTCTCTACTAAAAATAGAAAAATTATCCGGTGTGATGGCACTTGCTTTTAATCCCAGCTACAAGGGAGGCTGAAGCACTTGAACCTGGGAAGCAGAGGTTGCAGTGAGCCGAGATGGCACCTCTGCACTCCAGCTTGGGCAACACAGCAAGACTCTTGTCTAAAAATATTAAAAAAAACAAAGTCCAGGCTGAAAACTAAAACTAGTTCTCTGAAAGAATATCTCCAGCAAACCTAAAGTATAGTCCATGGATATATTTGTCTGGTGATCTAATTTAGTATAGAGATATAACTTAGAGAATGTATCATGTAAATATATTTCATCAATTCATAGGTGAGGGCTAGATGGAAGTCTCCTTGGAGAACTGGAAATAGAGGTGTGGGGTGGTAGTAATGAAAACCCACGCATTTGACCTACGGAGCATGCTCAGAGCGAGGCCCATCCTGCTTTCACAGTCAACTCTGGGGTAGGGTGGGTAGCATCAGGACTTTTCTCGTAGAGTAGTACTGGATCTACTTGGGTTCACACCTCAGAGCAGGAAGGTAACAACTTTTCTCGCGAGCATCGCTAGAAAGATCTGGTCACCACCATCTCACCACAGGCGTTAGTATAAAATAAGCACACTTACTGCTGCTACCACCGTACCAATCTAGAGGAGACAGCTCCAGTAAGAAAAAGTGACACTTACGGTGTGCCCCACGGTACTTTGTCCTTCTTGTTTGTAATTACAGAATATTATAATGATTGCATTCAGTCTTCCCATGTAAATTGAAAGCCATCTGAGCATTTTCTTGACTTTTTTATAGAATTGGTACAGTGACTTGAGTTCTACTCATCGTGTAATGAGTAACGAGTGCTTTTAGAATGAATACAAATGTAATTTTTAGGAAGTTCAGGAAAACATCTTACTAAGAATATCCAAGGGGAGCCGGCGAGTCCCAGTGCGAGTGGAGGGTGCCAGAGGTAGGGGGCCGAGAAACAAAGTTCCCGGGGC